TTTCAATATATTAGGTAGGTACCTATGTGTTTGGTATTAATTATATTTAGACATATGATTTATATTTTTTAACTTGGATGATTACCTATTTATTACTAACTGTTTAATGGGTATTGGTGGTGCAATTCAATACTAGTTGGCGCATGTAACCTATACAGGAACTGTTTCCCACAATATCAGCAGTTAGGAATCTTGTCTAGATATCAATTGCGTAAAAAATAAACAGTGTTCCTTAATGATATGCAAATATTTAAAACAGCGCATCGCAGGACAAAAACTCATAAAAATTATGTTTGTACTGAAAAACATGCGCCTCTATTAACTATCACTACGTAGGTACTAAATATCACTGAAATATCTAAGCGATTTTGGAGATATTAATTAATTTTCTTCTTTTTCCTAAAACTTTAACACCCTAGGTATCATTAATTTTCTACATCCTTAGATATTAGCATATCATTAAGGAACACCCTGTATAAAGGAAATTGTTGTTCACTCAAGCTGCTTTACGTCTAGACCAAGCGAATTAAATTTTTTCTCGAAAAAAGTCCTATCCGCGAGATTATTGTAAAATTGTCTAAAGGAACATAATACAAGACATCTCTCATCTCGTGAGTCAAAAACTTTTATTAGCTAACTTTTCTATTTAAACAATTAAGTGAGGAAAACAGTTTTCACATACAGTTTATAGGGAGTAAAATTATCTACAAAATGAGACTTGTTAAATTAAAATCGGTTAATAAACAAAAAAGTTATTGCAAAAAAACAAGAAAAGTGCCCATTTTTTCATTTGTTTATAACTATCGCATTTATTGTTAAAATTTTATAAAACCTATGACAAGTTGAGGGTTTTGTCATACTTTAAAAGTGTGCCAAAAGTGGGCGCTGTAGGTGCAATAGTTTTCGCACAATTCTATTTGTTTATAGCGGAGGCTCCAAAAGTTATGAACTTTAAGCCTCTGTACAGACGTTAATTTTCAATCAAACATGATTCTGAAAGCGTCATTGTAATCTTAAAGACGCAATTAAGCGACCTATTAAAAAATATCACCGTTTTTTTGACATTAACATTCTCAAATTGCGCATTAAAAAACCATGCGTTTTTCGCTTATAAACAATTTGAATAACATTGTTGCTATTCATGCTATCTCATGGAAAATAGATGCGATAGCTTCATTTATTTATTTAATGTGTAAATGTATGTAAAATAATTCCGAAATTGAAATTTTAATTAATATTTCGTTTAACAATAATTTTTGTGACATTTTTGTAAATTAAAAGAAATTAATTATAAAAGATGCATTTTTTCTGGGGTTCGGGGCTATTCTATGAATTCGTAAATATGCCCATTGTTATTTTTTCGTCGAGCTACCCCAGTTTAAATAAAAAGACGTTTCGATGAATAGAAGCCGAAATATTGCAAAATATACAGAGCGCATCAATTTGAACTTTGGAATTAACTTTTCTCGCGCGCGCGACCTCTTGGACGAGCTTCCCCCACCACCACGCCGCTGCGTCGGACAGTTTACTTAGCGAGTGTGAGTACCTTCTCTTTAAAGGGCTCGTGAGTCGTTAATTTTCCACATTTTTCAATGCAATTCACGGGAAATCGTAGTTTACGTCGTAAACTGTATTTTGCGAAAAATTCAAGTCTTAATATTTATAAACAATTGCGCTACGATTTAAAAAAAAATTTTTATCTTGGCTCCTGTTGGTCGTAGAGGGTACTTTTTTTATTTTAAAACTGTATTTTTTTGCCAGCTATCCATTGCATCTATTTTCGGTGAGATAGCATAAATAGCAACAATGTTATTCAAATTGTTTATAAGCGAAAAACGCACGGTTTTTTAATGCACAATTTGAGAATGTTAATGTCAAAAAAACGGTGATATTTTTTAATAGGTCGCTTAATTGCGTCTTTAAGATTACAATGACGCTTTCAGAATCATGTTTGATTGAAAATTAACGTCTGTACAGAGGCTTAAAGTTCATAACTTTTGGAGCCTCCGCTATAAACAAATAGAATTGTGCGAAAACTATTGCACCTACAGCGCCCACTTTTGGCACACTTTTAAAGTATGACAAAACCCTCAACTTGTCATAGGTTTTATAAAATTTTAACAATAAATGCGATAGTTATAAACAAATTAAAAAATGGGCACTTTTCTTGTTTTTTTGCAATAACTTTTTTGTTTATTAACCGATTTTAATTTAACAAGTCTCATTTTGTAGATAATTTTACTCCCTACAAGCTGTGAGAGTCACTTTTCGCTAAAATTGATGGTTTTCCCTGCAAAGTGAAAAAACTGTTTTCCTCACTTATTTGTTTAAATAGAAAAGTTAGCTAATAAAAGTTTTTGACTCACGAGATGAGAGATGTCTTGTATTATGTTCCTTTAGACAATTTTACAATAATATCGCGGATAGGACTTTTTTCGAGGTTCTCTTTTAATTTCGCTAATTTTCCTGGTGTAGTCTGCAAGTAGTTAAAACTCAACTTGTCAAATTTGTGTTAATTTTGGCGAAGGAACACTTTGTTGAAGTTTAGCAGTTGAAATATGTATAAGAATATACAAAATGAATTGTACAGATTAATAAAATATACCTACCGATCTTCAAAATTCCTAACGGTAGCTACTTTTTGGCATTTATTATTTTTTTAAATTTTGTGACGGTTCTCGTACACATCTATGCTTGAGATTAAAAATAATATCCAAACGACCTTTTGACAACAAACAGATAAATCATGTAAGTTAAACTACGTATAAGTTCGTAGACACATACGTGTCCTAATTTAGTGTCTGTCATCATGTACCCTGCCCTTCTTCCCTAAAACCAAAATATACATGCCCTACTTAAAAAAAAACACCTCCCAGCGATAACAAGACCCGTAATGTTCTCATGGCCTGCCGCGACATTCAAAACAAACTGGTTTCTATTGAACTTTTGGGTACCATATGGATGGGCCACACATTCGAAAATGTAAATATGAATGAAAGGGTGCACAATGCGACGGAAAAGTAAATCTAAATGTTCGTAAGGAGACGGTATGAATGGTCATAGTGAGGGGTTCGAGTTGTGAGAAGTTAAATAGGTCATTCATATGTAAAGTGACCCAAAATTGTAGACCAAATTACGTTTTAAGAAGGCGGGCATGTGTCTGATAGGGTCGGTTAGAGACCTAAGATAGATTTGTTTTATGTATATTTGTAGAAATTTTAGAATAAATCAATTTTTTTTGTATTTGGCAAAAGCCTACGATGTAAAAGCTTTATAACAATATGTTGTTATTAATCGTATATTTAAGGAAAAAAAATACTAATCGCTTCATTACCGTACAATAGCATACAAAACCTATCTATTTTTTGTATATCTTTGAAAGAATCTCAAAAAAATATACGTATTATATATATTATCTAGCCAATTTATTTACATTTAAAATAAGATTTCCATATTTAAAATTTTGTAAATAAACAGCTTTAATCAAGTGTTGCAAAATTCATTCTGCTCGTTAAGTAATTGTGATGATTTTGAAATACAAATAATATTTTGATGCACAAGATAAATTATCATTTGGAGTTTTTAGTAAACACGAAAATTGGTTTCTGTTCATTTTTTTCATCTTATTTTCTTTAGAGAAATTAGGCAAACAAATGTTTATTTTGTGGATTTGATCTATATCTATGCTTCTACTTAAATGAGAATTCCGCATGTTAATGAAATTTACTGTATTTGAAATTACGACCATTTCAGAAAAAATTTAATCAGTGCCGGTTATGGTTAATAATATATATTTTATTATTAGCTCTCGCATTTTTTACTCTCATAAATTCATTCAAATAAAAAAAAAATCACGAAAAAATTCTATCAAATGAAGTCAATCAGTGTCCTTCGATACCGGAAATTTAAGTGTACAAGAAACATCTAACATCACAGACAAAGACAGAGAAAATTCATTTTTGATTTATATTTTGAATAATTATCAAATACAGCTATTTGGTATAATTTTTGTGTAATTCAATGCTAGTTAGAGCCTGAAGCCGTTAGACTAGTTTTTTCCTGCAATATCAATAGTTATGAATCAATGAATACAGTTTGACTTCATTCGATAAAAATTTTTTAAGATTCGTAACCAGAAAAATTAACTTAAGTCGTCGTTTATGCGCTACCTTATTCTAGTATGTACAATAATGGACAATAAAAAGGTTCCGAATTAAATCATTTAAACTCTTTTGCAAACGTTTATTTTCGAATTTTGACCTGTTACAATTGGAAACTTTTTATTGTCTACAACTGTACATAACTATCGGTGATAGTACATTTAATTTGTGTGCATGTTGTGATGCACTACAGAACTTTATCTACTTGTTTTAAAGGTTTTTTTTTCATTTTGAAATATATAAATAACAGTAATTACCTTATTATCATTCTGTGAATGTAACAAACAATGTAATCGAATGAATGATAAAAAAGATGTATCAGTCATATTATCAACAGGGCCATTGCACCTTTATTTTCTTTGTTACTAAGCACCCACAGGAAAATTATATGAAGAGATAATGCAATATTTTCTAATCCTATCTTTCCTCATTGTTACAATAATTGCACTAATAAATATCACTAGATATATATTTACGTATGTTTTGGATGGTTTCGGAAATATGTGTCTATTACAAAGTAAGATTTCTAGCATCGAGCATAAGAGATTATTTTTTATATTTCTGCTTATTTTCCGGACTCCCTGTAGACTTTGATATTTTCATTATCAAGATAATTATTCGAACAGCATGAATTTAAACAATTTTAATTAGGTGCTTGAAACGAAATTTTACCTCAGTGTGCATCTTCGACCTGACAACACATTATCAGTTGAGATAAGTTTTTATTTTAAAATTGCATATTAAAATTCCGAAAAAATGCTTTCAGATAACGCCTGATTATCTACATATTTAATCTAGATAGATTCTAAATTAATAATGGTATTAAGTATATAGGCTTACCTTTCCAAGTGCTGACGTCGGTTCTGTGACTGATAGAACAGCTTGTCTTTGTCCTCAACAAAATGAACCTAGAAAATCATGAGAAAAATGATTATCTCCTGCATTTTTTCCTTGAATTCAGATAAACGAACAAGAGCCATCTGGTGCAGATGACACCACATGAATACCCATGCTGACTAATGAAAAACAGATGTTGATGAATTTTTTAAATTAGTAAGGAGTAAAAGTTAACGTACAAAGAAATGTATAAGAAACTGGACTCTTTCGTCGTTGTTCGGCTAGTATTCTTAAAAAGTAATGGTTGTTGAGGCAGATATTTTTTTATTTTATGACTTGTGTATTTAAAAAATGAACGTTATTTAGCTAATGGAAATAGATTAATATTACTATTATATCATACTGAAAAGAAGAATAGGCAATCTCAAAACTATTACCTTTTTGCATGCAATTAAAACTGAATCACAATTTTGTTCTTGCCACGATATCGATTATTTTATACTAAAGTTTCTAAGATAATCCTAAAAACCTACTCCGTTGTAATTTTTCCATCATCCAGTTTATAATTACTCTTTCCATATTATATAAACAACATAATAGTGAACACTTACACTTCACCGATTGCAAACAATGATGGTTTCCCAGGATTTTGCAGAACGTAGTTATTAGCACTGATATATTTTTTCAAAAACAATCACCGATTTAACCCCAACGCTCCACCAGCCAAGCAAAGAAATTAAATAAAAATTTAAATTTGTATTAAATTGTTAGTTATTTCCTTGTCTTCAGAACCGTCGTCCAGCCTTGTCAAAGTGAAGATACGTATATTATACGACTAAGTATTATCGTTTTAGGTACTACAAAAATGTACTTTATTTTTATACACTTAACAGATAAAAATACGTACCTACTTATACCAAATAAGTACCCGATTGGTCTAATCAATGCCATTTTGTATACCTAGAGAATCAAAAAGTATTTTATTTATACATAATACATATTTGTTGAACAAATTGATAGATTTCGGAATAGTTGATGTTCTTACTATGTACAGGATCGATTACAAAAAGTTTTGATTTGACTACTGTAGATTTGTTTATGATGTAAAAATTATGATCATGTTACGTTACTCAAAAATATAATGGACTCGGTTGGCTTAAGATTAGCAATTTCTATAAATATGATATGATTGACATGCCTGTTTTGTGAGAAAATTATTCAAAAATAATTTGCCGCCATATTTACGGAATAAACTTTCCTGTCGTGGTGCCAGACATAATCTTAATCTAAAATTATCCATTTTCTTCAATTACCAAGATTTCATACAGTTTTATTTCAGAATACTTTTGGTTATCAATGGATAGGTCGAGGTGGACCTATTTTGTGGCCACCGAGGTCGCCCGACATGACTCGGTTGGATTTTTTTTATGGGGAAATTTAAAGAGGCTTGTGTACTCCACACCAGTTCGCACCAGGGAAGACATGGTAGAAAGAATAACACACCATTGCAACGAAATTCGAGACAATCCTGAATATTGTTTCAAGTACGAGAAAACATCGCTCGGATAAGGAAATGTACAGGGCGCCCTTTGCGAAAACGGCTAATTTTATCGAAACAAATGTAGAGTACCTTTTTTAAAGAAGAATGAAAAAAGTATTTAAAAATTCAGTTTACAGCTCTATAAAATGACAACTGTCAAAATTTTGGCCCAATGAGTGTAGTGCCAAGTCCATTCCCGACTACCCCGACAGTGTAAAACATCTACTGTAGTATGGTTTTATAAGCCCTTATAGCGTACATAAAATATTAAAATTTCATTAAATTATACATGTCGGTTCAAAAGTTAGAGCCGATAAAATGTAAATCGCTGGGTACCCATTTGGGGCTCTGTATCTTCGTTAAGTGGCACTGTAGGATTTTTTTTTATGATAAACTAGGGTTATTTTGACCTACCTATACACTCCCGAGAATATGCAATATACTTACCAGACACCCTTATAAATGTCAATATTATAGAAACTGTCATAACAAATATATGACACGTGTATGTGTTACTGTAATCAGAAAGGCAGGAAAGGATTCCAATAAGCGGTAAGTATGTAGGGTGTTCTACAAAAGAAAACAAAGTGAATCACCCTGTATATTATATTTTTTAACATATTTAAAAAAATTACTGATATAGAGAGTATTTTTTCTATATATAAATGAGTGGAGAATTGCGGAACCAAACGTTATCTTATTAACATTAAAGATGGACTTGACAGCCATTTATAAACAAAATTCGTTAATCAATAAAATATAATTTATTATTTACTGACTTCAGTCAATGGACGAATTTTATTGACTGCCATTTTATTGAGAAATATATCAAAGTGTGAATCTAGTGGAAGATATAAAACCCCTTTTCATTTTTCAACAGTTAATGCTAATGAAATGTTACTAATAGGTATGTTTTTCCTCTGTTCCTATGTCGCTATAAATAATTAATTGGTACCTATTGCATACAATTTATTAATACACATGTACATACAATCGATATTACCCGTAATCATTCACTCGTTTCCTGTGACCGTCACAGTCACAGCAAAGCTATTTGGCCACACAACACAAACAACTATTATTTGTTTATCTAGTTTTTTTGTAATTATTGTTAATTGCGGTAGAGAACGTTCTTATGTTTAATTGCATATCTGAAAAGCAGGTACAAAAATGTCGAATGTCACGGCATTCTAAAAAGTGAGGGAAAGTAAACTGAAAGAAGAATTGTATAACTCGTATAGGGTTCTATTTCTAGAAAATTTTATAAAGACAAATCCACGTTTTACATTCAGTATATCATGCTTCAATATACAGGGTGGTCCCGAGGTAATGGACCAAAATTCATGGGTAGATTCCCCAAGTAAAAATATTGCGATTTAGCCGAACTTACCTTAGTCCAAAAGTTGATAGTTAAAGAGATACAGGGTGTTAAATGTAAAATATTATTTCAGTTTTTTTTAATTTATTCCTTAACAAATGCAAATATCCTCACAAAATTTTGAGGATTGGAGTTCTTTGAGTAGAGGAATTGAAATCTGTTCACATTTTGGTTAAAGTTCATAGAGGACGCTAGCTGCAGTAGATTGAATGTGTTAAAAACGACATAACTTTTTTGTACTTTAAGGTATCTCATCTTTGGTAACAAATTCTTATTTTTCAACTTTTTTTACACAAAAAAGTTAACGTCTTCCACTTGTCTTATTGCTGTCATTTGTATGCTAATTTCTATTAAGTATTATTCGTATCTAATTAAAATTACATCTTAGCTTACAATTAAAATTGTATACTCGTATACATAAATGTGAGATAGAATGCCGAGGTTTTCGTTTTTGGAGTTACATGAAATCAGTTGTTTATGGAGAAACTATAAACACTTGAGAAGAACTTTAGCAGCAGGTTTTAAATGCTGCAGTGATTTCGCATTAAGGATTTATACTTTAAAATAAGACAATCTTTTAATAAACGAGTTGATAAATTTATTGAAGTTAGAGCTGGACATTTTGAGCAATTATTGTCAAAAAGGCATATTTTTTACTAATGTTTACTATTCTACTGTTCATTACAATTTTTAATTCTTGTTTTTGACATTTCTACATTATTTTAATTATTTCAACTATTAGTATTGGAAGTTGAAAGCCAAATATTTCGGAAACGGTCCGAGACAGCTACTTTCATAAAGTCTACCTTTTTTGTGTAAAAAAGGTTGGAAAATAAGAATTTAATGCCAAAGATGAGATACCTTAAAGTACAAAAAAGTTATGTCGTTACCAACACATTCAATCTACGGCAGCTGGCGCCCTCTAAGAACTATAACCAAAATGTGAACAAATTTCAATTCCTCTACCCAAAGAACCCCAAACCCCAAAATTTTGTGTAGATATTTGCATTTATTAAGAAATAAATGGTAATAAACTAAAATAACATTTTACATTTAACACCCTGTATCTCTTTAGCTATTAATTTTTGGACTAAGGTAAGTTCGGCCAAATCGCAATATTTTTGCTTCGGGAATCTACCAATGAATTTTGGCCCGTTACCTCGGGCTGTATAAGATACTTAATTTAATCCTTGTATTAAATATCTTTCCTGATTTATGGAAGCATTAAAAAATAATTTCGATCACGTCACAGGCGTTACGGCGGTAAACTTACCAAGAAGGAAATATAAGTCAAATTATANTTTATTGGTTTTGCTGAAAATATTTCCGAAGAAAACAATATATTTACGCTGTGGTATGATAACGAGCTCCGTATGTCATTTACTAGATAACTGGTAGCAGAAAAAGCTCTCTCGGCCTCGACACTTGTTGGGATTTACAGATTTTAGACAAATATAGGCTAGTTCTAGATACTTTCCTCTAGAACATATACGTTAATTATTCTGTGACAGACTACTACTACTAACAACGAAGAAAACAAAGTTATTTTGTGCGTCGTGGTCGGGCCACGTGTGAAATCAACGACGCCAAACGGATCGTGAGAAGCACCTGTGCACAATCCCGGAATCCCGCAATCCACAACGGGATCCGCATATTTAAAAATTGGTGCGGGATCTCGCTATTTCGGGATCCCGGTATACCGGGATTGCAAGCCCTAGTATACATAAATGTAAGATAGAATGCCGAGATTTTCGTTTTTGGAGTTACATGAAATAAATTGTTTATGGAGAAACTATAAACACTTGAGAAGAACTTTAGCAGCATGTTTTAAATGCTGCAAAGTCATTTCGCATTAAAGATTTATACTTTAAAATAAGACAATCTTTTAATAAACGCGTTGATAAATGTATTGAAGTTGGAGCTGGACATTTTGAGCAATTATTGTCAAAAAGGCACATTTTTTACTAATGTTCACTATTTTACTATTCATTACAATTTTTAATTCTTGTTTTTGACATTTCTACATTATTTTAATTATTTCAACTATTAGCATTGGAAGTTGAAAGCCAAATATTTCAGAAACGGTGCGAGACAGCTACTTTCATAAAGTCTACCTTTTTTTGTGTAAAAAAAAAGTTGGAAAACAAGAATTTGATATCAAAAAAGAGATACCTTAACGTACAAAAAAGGTATGTCGCTTCCAACACATTCAATCTACGGCAGCTGGCGCCCTCTAAGAACTATAACCAAAATGTGAACAAATTTCAATTCCTCTACCCAAAGAACCCCAAACCCCAAAATTTTGTGTAGATATTTGCATTTATTAAGAAATAAATGGTAATAAACTAAAATAATATTTTACATTTAACACCCTGTATCTCTTTAACTATTAACTTTTGGACTAAGGTAAGTTCGGCCAAATCGCAATATTTTTGCTTCGGGAATCTACCAATGAATTTTGGCCCGTTACCTCGGGCTGTATAAGATACTTAATTTCCAAAATTTTCCAATTTATTATCCATAACCTTCAATCAAATCCTTGTATTAAATATCTTTCCTGATTTATGGAAGCATTAAAAAATAATTTCGATCACGTCACAGGCGTTACGGCGGTAAACTTACCAAGAAGGAATTATAAGTCAAATTATATTATCGTTCCGCACAGATCCCCGCCTGCGATTTCCTATTTGCTCTTTCCGTTCTCCTGTAATATCGGCTGTTAATATTATAATTGAGTCGGGAAATAGTTCCATTATTTTTACTGTAATCTGAAAATATCAACGTAAAAACAAAATTAAACTTATAATCAAGCAGATACCTGTAAGCCCCTATCACTTTTTCACCTTCGATTAACATCTTGGAGGTTGTAATCTGTCAGAATTGCTCATAGCTGCCTTAAAAAAAGGATGCAGATTTAAAATTAATGATTAATTGGAAATAGAGATTGAGATCAAAGCCGTGTCTCCTCTTGTGGAACGAGAAGGATCTAAATGCTGTAAACGTTTTTAGACAATATCATTACGCTAGTGACTGGCGACTGCTGAGGGTCCAGGGTCCAGTTTATTCAAGATTTGACTAAGCTGGGTCTATTATTACCTGGTTGAATGCCCTGTAGACGGTTTTTGTTAATGTTTTGCTATTAAGAATTCGTTTAATAATTATGACTCATACGAAATTATCCTGTAAATTGCTTGAAGAAAACAACCTGAGACGTTATTTGAAGATATTTTTATTTACGCTTTTACGGCTTCTCGAAAGTTCGATTTATTACGATGTCAGTAACGCTTTAAATACCTTAATTCATTCATGTCTTTCGTCTCAACAAATATATTTAGTTCATGAGTTTTCAAGTTTCTATTGTTCTCATAAATAACTCTCGAGGGATATCTTCCATTTTTCCATTTTTACATCCAGGCTCCGGCTAAGAAGGACCAAATAATTTACAACAGTGCATTGCGAAATGCTTTAAATCTGGTTTAAAAATATTCAACTCTATATTAGTTTGCATCAGTCATGTTTTTTTATGGATCTACGACCATTTATTTTAACTATGGTTGCAATTATGTACAATATAACCTTGCCAAACACATTACGGCTAAATTTTTACGGGGAAAGGAAACAAACCAACTTTAACAAAACTTTTATTACGTCAATAAGTTATGACAAAAAGGTCCTGACCGTAGCCTTGATGGAAGACCTGCAGACAGGACAGTCCTCCAGGTTCGGAGCACAGTTCACACAAGTAGCTAAATGTCCACAAGGTAAAAACACTATCCCCACCTCACCGTCCATACATATCTTACATAGCCTAGCTTCTTTGAGTATTCTATTTTCTTCTTCTAGAGACACCGTCTTCTCTAATTTGGGTATGGGGTCAGAATTATTCGGTGTCGCGTTATCCGCGACTGCAGGAGCGATCGAAGTACTTTCAACGCGCGGTTCCGAGTTCTTAACGATATCCTGGAGGATTGAGGACACCACTTGCCTCATGCCGTTGTTAACTTGAGTATCTTGGTCGTTGGAAAGGTCTTCCTCGTCGTGTTGCAGGTTGAGAGCTGCCTCTACCAAGGCATCGGGATGCGAATACGCCCTGCCGGTTTGCTCCAACTTCTCTTTGATTGCACGTTTCACCCTCTCTACGTTTAGGCCTATACTTAAAGCTGTCAAGGCTGTGGGACTAGTCATGTATTCCTGGAGTTCTCTTTCGGTTACCTCTCGTCTACGTCGAGAACTTTGAATCTTTTGAGTCGAGTCTCTCTGTAACAAACAGAAAATTTGTGTTGGTACATTGGTAACAATCTCCAAAGGTGTATCAAGTAATACTGACTATTACGGTAAAACAACATAATATTGTTTTGGGGAAAACTGTATATTAAGACTCACTCATACAATTCAAAGTCACTTTTCTCATTCTAAAACCCAAGAAAACTTTGATAGTAGGTATTTTATTTATTCCTTGTTTGTTGATCAACTTTCTGAAGATAATAGTATTATAGCATATAACTAAATTTAATGTGTTATATCGAGCCAAGTTTTCATAAAATACTGCAATATAAAGATTCTTGGGCAACCTATATATCATTTCTTTGATACACTACGGTTAGTGTGCATTCGTTTGGTTATGTTTTCCGTATAATCACAGATGAAAGAAGAGATAAGATAAAAGTCCACATTTAAAAGCAAATATTCTTAGTAACATTTTTTTCTATTAATAAATGATTTTTGGAAAAAATGCATTTCTTCAAATGAACTGAACACATTCCTAATTCTACATATTTCAAAAATACCGAGATATAAAGTAGATACACTAGGTTTGTATAGCAGAAGAGAATCGAAGAAAGATAAATCTTGAGCGTTCATACCTTCCGAAGGCGTGGTTCTATCTATTTGGATATGGTAAAGTCTGCCTTGCAACTAGTATACAAAAAAATCGTATATCTACGTTCTAGAGTGGCGGGTGACCTGGACATCGAGTTCAAGAGTCCACGGTACGCGTTCAACTTTCCACTACGAAGTAGGTTTCGGATCGGCAAAAATCGAGCCTCTATTAACAGGTTATAATAAACGGTGAGCATTGTTTCGAATGGGACTTTGCTATATGGTGCTCAGACTGCTTCTCATAAATCGCCATAATCGTAAATCTCGAATTTTATGTACTTCTGTTATTGATTTTTAGATTTATGGGTTCGGACCGGAATCAAATTCAAATTTATATCGGTTACAGCAGATCGTTTGGATCGTGCGTTAAATTAGAAATCTCCAATGACAAGACTTGTTTCACTCTTAAAACAGCATAAAGAAAATAATAATCAGTACTACTTGTAGGTATTATTGAAAAATCAGTTATCCAATGTCAGAAAACTGTTTTCTTTATTTTCAGATTTAATGTCTTTATCTCAAACCTTTTTTAGCCGATGGCTGTCTCCTTTTTGTTATTTTTTCCATTTCATGCGATTGCATTATTATATCCTCAACAAAGCAGTAAAAATATAAGCACAGGTTTATTGTTTAAATCTGTTCAAGTAAACACTCTTTTTTCTATATTAGTGTATGTAATGTATAAGAAAAAAAACTACCTACACATAGCAGCAAGTGAAGATATACTGAAATACTATGGTCTCAAGAGAATGGTTAATATCAAATCATTAATATACTGTAAAACACCTTTGAACCTAATTACAAGCTATTGTAACTGTCAACACAATACTATTGATGTAAAACTTCTAACTATTCCTAGTAAATCACATTATTTTGGAGTGATGACCTCGATTTTAGCTCCAACATTCAATATTTTGATTGATTACTTCCCATGATGAAATAAATATTTGAAAATTTTTAGGTTCTTTTTTTGATGAAATATTTTTTGCCTGTGCAAATGTTATCTATGTATATTTTTTGAATGGTACAGAAAATTCTTAGATTATTAAATACTAAAATTTATCGTGAAAATTAATATACTCAAAAGTGGTAAGAAATTGTTGGTGAAGACGTAATATACACCCTGTACATTACACAGGGTGTTGTAATATTCTTTCGCCAAAATTTTTTAAAAATAATCGATTCAAATTTGGTATACCGATTATATCGAACACTTTCCTTAAATATTGACGAAAGTTTTATTTTGAGCCACGGGTTCAACTGTAGGGCCTGGTGTAAGGAGATAAACGACAATATTTAAAATGATCAAAGAAAGGCAAGGAAGTTTTCTTTATATTGGTGTTTTTTTTTATAATTATATCATTTATGTAAATAAGTATTTTCTTCTTATATTGAAACATTCGTATAAGTATATATTAAAAAATATTTATGATAAAAAAATGAATTTCTAATTTTTAAATTTGCACCAGGCATTAAGTAATAATTAAAAACTTTTTTCCGAAAACAGAATATTTAGATAAACTAATACAAACAATTAAAGGGTCAAAAGAATTTCCGAAATTTTTCCGTGATTTTTTACACTGTATTTAGGTGAAAAAGATTTAAAAAAAGCATTTTGAAGCTCTAAAATTCTAGTTTTTTTATCTTTCGGTCGAAATTTTTTAGGAGCTACGGTTATCATGCAATTCTAAGAAATAGCGCGACAAAAAAAGTTTGCAAATTTTCTTTTTTTTTCCGAGTCCACGAACTTGGAATTTTTTTTTATGTACCAGATAGCTTGTTTATTATTTAAGTGATTACAGTCTGCACAAAAATTAATTCGAAAATTATCTCTAAAAAACTATGAATCGAGGTCTGGTTTGGGTCATCAACTTTAATATTAATTTAATTAAAAGTTGATGAACAGAAGCATAGGATGAAAAAGCCGAATCGTGCTGGAAACAATTGGATTTTGTTTTCTTCAATGTCCAGAAGGTTTTTCAAAAAAAAACTTTCGAAAATTAATAATTTTTTTTATCAATTTAAACGTTATTTGCGATAAAAATGCGAGAAAACCTTAAAAAACATATTTTTTCCATTTTAATCAAGATTATGAAATGTTTAAGCTCAAAAAACGTCACCCTTTAATTTTTTTCAAAAGTTTGACTGTTTGAAACAATGAAACGGTTCACTAGATCGAACTGAAACTTCACACAGGGTTCTTCTGGGTATATCAAACTGTAAAAGTCATGCTTTAACATTAGTCAATTCGTGAATATTTCTAATTTAACCATCAATTTTCTAAAAAACCATAAATTACCTTTTTTTCCTGTTTTTTTTTTAAATCCGTGTAAGCGATGAAATAAAATTTCCGAAAAGTTACGGCAGCATGTTATAGGAAATTTATTCCAGTTCTCAAAACTGCCCTTCAATTCTGAACGACCATTTGTCGCCGAGATATCGATGATTGAAGACAAAAGCATCCTTTTCCATTAAAAGTCCGATATTTTTATGAAAAATGGTCGTATCGAAATTTAAAAATAAAAGGAAATTGAAGTTGAATAAACAAGCTATTTGGTCCATGCAATAGCTTAGCTGAAAAAAATTTTTCCAAGTACGTGGACTCGGAAAAAAAAAAAAAAGTCGGCCAATTCCTAAAAATGCAAGAAAAACCGAACCCCCAAAAAAATTCCAACCAAAAAACCAAAAAATCCTTTTTTTTTAATTTCCGATACGACCATTTTTCACCTAAAAACAGTCTGTCAAAAATCACGGTAAAATTTCTGAAATTCTTTTGAACCTTTAATTTATGTATATTACTAACAATAATAACGAGACAAATGAATGATCACAATAAATATCGAGTACAAACAAACCAACACACATGTGGTGAAATAATTAATAAATGACATGTCACTTATCCTCTTGCACCAGTCTATAAGAGAAGATACGTGATTTTATTTCATAGTTCGCTTTTTATTAAACTTCTTTAGGTATAGTTCACCCAAAGAAAATAGTATATTAAACCTGCATTAGCAGAAATTCCATTTATCAAAAATATGAATTTGTCTCTTTCTTGTATATCAGCGTTTTCAATTGTAAAATAAAATCGTACTGTAATATACGTATTTATAATGTAATCATGCATACGCCAAATATTTAGGAAAGTTGGTCACTTTCCCCAAGATTAAGTTCATCAAAATTGGTAACTTGTATCTTCAGTTTACTACTGTTACTATACGAGGTTATCAGTTTTGGACACCAAATCAAAAAGTGAGTAGATTAAACATACATTTTTTAAATAAATTTATTACTAACATTTTTATTCGTGAACAGAATGATAATAATTTAACAATACCTAATTTATTTAGACTCAAATAGATAATACAATCATATTAAATAACTTGAAAAAATCATTGTTAACTCAGCTTTGTTATGACTTTTAAAACTACACCAAGACAAAAGAATTTCTTACAATGTATGCATTATCCTTTACGAATTTCTTTAGAGATTTGTAATTAACGTCACTTTTCTTTGTTTTTATATAAGATTTTAATTCAGACTTCGAACAATTAAGTCGTGAGACATGACTGAATAAATTACTTGGATTCTGCGTATTCTGAAAGTTTTACGCCGTCAAAAGATGGACTCGTTTATGAGCTGGTCAAGGGGAACCACCTTGTGGGTTTGTTTTTACTTGAAATTTTTAATGCTTATTCCTTTACGGGCTTTATTTGTAAAGAAAATACAATAGGGGTCATGGAAAAGGTTTATAAACTTCGTCACACGATATGTTAAGTCTGTAACTGTGTCACGAAGGATTATGTGAATGAAGCTGTGTGTTTTCAACCATATATGTATCTGAAATTACTTTAGAGAATTAACACTAAAATAATCTTCGCTTCCAAAGTATTCTCAAATTTATGGGTATCAAATCAGGTTGGAGGAGAGGCTGTATTCCGTCAAATTTAACCACAACCTGAACATTTTATGAAACCGTGCAATATTTAAATTGAAAATACGTAGTTTCTTACCAAGACTAATGGAGATTTGTATACACTTAAAATATTCGACCCTGCTCATTAAAATTCATTTTGACATAATGAGGTGTGCTTGTTATTCAAAATGATTTTTTTATCTGTCATCGCGCGGTCTCTAAGTTCAGAGTCACTTCTAGATACGACGTGCAAATTACCTAAACATGACAATACTGATAAAAAAAAATCTGAAATAAGTGACCACGAAGTGAACCTGAGAGATTAACAATTACTTAATCTAGTTAGATATTAATACTTGGTATATGTGGGAATAATTGTCTGTAATTAGATACTGTTATACTGTTAGAAATACTGCAGCATAGAGGTAAGTTGGCTTTTTATAAATCAACATAATATGCAAGACAAAAATAAGTACTGAAATTAATTTGGAATTTAATTTAGGGATTACCGTAAAAAAAGAAAAATATGTGTTAATGCATTTTGAAAGTGAATATCCTGTTGGTTAAACATTTTTTTAAATATAATGTAATTAATGAATGTTATTATTTTAAAACGCTCTTTCTTTATATTTCAGTTACTCGAGTTTTGTGGAATTGTGTCTACAACAATTATTTTTATCTTAGAACAAATTATTATTGTTAATATAACCGCCAAAGATAAAATTTGACCCCAAAAAACATATGCGATTTGCATATAAACGCTCCATATTGGAACTGATACAACATATGATACAGAATTTGTTTAGGAAGTCTATCTATGCTGCTATGCTTTTTTGTAAATGTGGTTTATACTAGTATAATACTTACAGAGGCATAGATTAGTAAGATAATCCAATAAATATTGAGACTTAACTTACTATAACGCAACGTTCTAATTTTGAGAATACATAATTATTATTGATACTTTGTTTGGTTTGTATGTTTCTTATACTATTAACTTCAAATAAGTTTATTCGCTGACGCTTACAAAAAAAACTCCATTCTAGAATATAAAAGCAATGCATCACAATCTTGATTTCTTTAGTACCACTCAAATTCACTTCATTAGCTATCTAATACAGGATATAAAATGTATGTGGCTACTGTAAAAATAGTTTTTTACCTTTTTCCTTGATTTATTTGGAAGGTGCTTCAACTAAGACGAGATTTTAAAAAATGAAAATGGTCATTTCATAAAGGATAAAAAACATAGGGTGTCTGTATTTCGCATTTCTTCTTGCTCCAAGTAGCTGATCAGTCCCTGTCGATGATGCTGGACGCGGAAATATGTATACATATGTGCGATTGTCGTCTGTCTGCCGCTATACATGTTCATTCTCCTTTAATAGATACAGTTAGGTGGAATGTCTCATACATCAGCATGGTAACCATACACGGTGATCTTTGTTGACAGGAAATTTTACGTAAGTGACAAAGTCTGCAAACGGGAGTGAATGCTTTTAAAAAGGATAAACCTGGGTGATATGGTCTACGATTTCATCTAAAAATGTCAAAATGACAGCAGGTCCGTGATAAATTATGTAGGTACGTGAAATTTAAACTATCCGCGTCGTAATGTTTATATTATTTATCTTTTTTTTTATTAAACGTTCAAATAAAAGAGCAAAACCTTAATACATATATGTACAACAGTACAGCAAAGTTAATTTGAACTATCATTATCACATTAGCCAACTGTCATCCGTTTTGACCTTGACAGAGTGTCAAATCTGCCGTTACATAATTGAACGTCGATAGTCACATGGTTACATAATTTTTTTAGAACTGCATAAATTTGTAGTTTATAACCGACAACAACTGTGGTAAAAAATTAATTTCTTTAACGATATAAATAAATTGTAATGTTTAAAATGACGTAAAAATTTAAATTTTGTAACGTGATCACCAACGCATTATGACGTCATTTACTGGAACCGAAAACTCAACCTACTTCTCGGTCGTATGTCGTCTGGTCTACAATTCCTAAGTCGGCGAGATGGATCCTAACCTAAAGAAATGCGTATGCGGAGAGCCCCGAAGCAAAAAGAATTTGGCTGTTTAGAGACTCTTATCATTTACTATGTCCAGGCTGTTGGGCGTCATTCATCTTCTCGATTATCGATCGCATTAAATGATGTCATGATTTAGCGCGGCAGCAAACATTTAAAACATTTATTTTGCGCGTCAAATACTAATAATAATTATTAACAATCTTTAAGGTACTTCTAATATTTTCACTACATGATTATATATATTAAGACATTAAAAAATATACAAAAAATTTTTGCAAAACGTATTATTAACTATTTGCTTATAACAAAATTGCGATTTTGTGGAAAACGATTTAGATTATATAGGGTAGGAAATAATCATTTTACGATGAGTTCAAAAGTCAAACAAAAAAATGCGGGGCAGCCGTATCAGGCTCTAAAATCACAACAAAATGAGAAAGATGGAACGTTTTTGGTCAAGGTCTTAGTGACTATACACACCACCAAAAAAATACCGACGATTTTGCAAGTAATCTGTCAAAAATGAGTCTATTTTTTCTTTTTCAACATCAAATGTAGCCTACAGGAAGCTTGAATGACTGTAGCATGTGCAAAATGGAACTAATGACGTAACAACTATGTTCTCAAGGTCGATTCGTGAATGAGCTACAACTTCGACCATAAATGTCAAACAAAAAGGTAGTACGTGCGTATTCTTCAGCATCTAGTGTCAATCCAGTCCAAGAGTATGTGTGCATTGCTTAGTTATATTATCTCTAATGAATAATTATTAAACATTTAAGGTCTGATTCAGAAGCAACAAGATATTGTTTATAATGACGAATTGTAAACAGGATCTGGGGCGCCGGTTGAGGCAAGACAAAAGAACAGGAAAGGAGATGCTTTGAAGGATTCCCAGGTCGTCAGAGAAATCGAAGACATCCGGCTATTAGCATTTCCGTTAACGTGATTAGCACTCGGGCCTTTTTACAATGCCCCGTTTACTTTAATTACTGAGATTACTGTTGTAGGATGACTTTTATAGTTCTTCAATTTAATCGCGGCAAAAGAACGGCAGAAAATACCTGGACTGGAAAATTTATGGACTTTTTTATAGGTTCCATGGAACTGAATGGTTGAACTAAACTAGCTGTTTGAGGAAACTATTTAATACTGGCCATTCACGATTTTATTGAAATTAGTTAGGTACTGTGAAATTTACTTAAAAATCAATGTCGCCAATCTAAACAAGTCTATGGTCGTAAGTTTCTCATTACTGCAATGTTGACAGGATCTGATTACGATTACGATAGCACCCTGCTTAGAGAGCGGCTTTCTTCAGAAAGTGGGTCGCTGATAGCAGTTGTTTATTTGGCAAATAGAAACTCCTACAGGTCGCGAGAGCTGGTAAAAAGGACAATGTGGTCACGATGATGAATAAAATGTGGGAAAACTAGCTCTCGCAGAATGAGCCATATACACGATAGTCGACCTCCCCTAAAAGGTTACAGAAAAAGACGTGACTGATAGGCTGTCAGCCCGTTGCAAAAAAGCCGAACGATTTCTCCACGTATGCCCTTCAAGGTATCGTCAATTATCCGCAGGCTGACCAATGAACAAGTAATGGTAATTCGCGCGGTTGTCTTATCAGAAAAAATCAATTTTGTTCCAACCGATTCGTATGCCGTTTAACAAATATACATAATTAGGTCAATACTTAACAAAAATAACGATGGCGTACGTGGCACTATCGTTGGAACCTCGGTTGGAACATAACCAAAAAATTTGCACTCTTTTTTCGCGTATGCCACCAGGTAGATCCTTTACAATCCGATGCTTTTTATAATGATCTCATCGTAATGGATTATATTAAAAGCGCATATGTGTAATTATCGTAGTCATACCTGTGCAATTAATACGTAGTCATACAGGTGTGAAATTAATTAGACCGGGAACCGTATGCTCTTTGAAAATTGTGCACTTTATGCCAAAAACCATTGAATTTCGAATAGGCATACATGTAACCATCATTTACAAATGCAAATTGAGGACGTTTTCCAATAAATTGTTATTGCTAAAATACCGTTTAGTATGTTCGGCATACGTGTAAATTTAATTGTAAAACGCGATCTTTTGTGCAATTAACAATTACCTTTACCGGTGCATGTTCCACGGTTACTGGCTAATTGTACTTGTTCATTGGTCAGCATACGCATAATTAACGAAGGGCATACGTGGAGAAACATTCGTTTTTTTTTTGCAGCGGGCTGACGGCCTATGATGAATGTTAGAGAAAATCATAAAATATGTGACGATTTTGATGGTGTGTGTGTGAAATTTTGAAAATTTCTTATGCGTCTGCAATTAAATGTAATAAATTTAAATAATGTGAAATAAACGAATGCCACTTACTCTTACATTACATGACATTACAATATACAGGGTGTTGTATGTAATGACTAACTGAATACAACGTGAATCTTAAATCTTATATTTTAAACAGCGGCGCAGTTCACTGTATAATTAAGTTTTTTTTAAATCGGGAAAAGTCAAATTTAAATTACATTTTTAAAACAAAACTTGATGAGGACTACTGGCTTTATTATAGAATCTACGCATAACGTAGATCAGCTATGCAGTTCCACAAAACTCTTATACTAAGAAATAGGAAGAAAAAAATTGCAAATATGAAATATATTCAAAATTTTGTCCTGCCTTTGGTACTCCTATCACCAGGAATATACTATTTCCTTGTACATAAATATTGATCTGTTACTGATGGATGGACACCTTATAAAATACGAACACCAAAATCAAATTACTTATTTTGTCCATATCTATTGAACAATTTGTAATCAATTTATATCCGGTATATCGCTGAAAGTAATAAACTTAAAGTTAGATTTCCAAAATCCCAGGACGGTATTAGGGAAAATACACTATTTTTCTTAGGGTTCTTTAGAAAAGTTCATCCTGTATATTTTTTCTACTATTTCTTATACTCGTAGCATACCGAAAGTACAATACCATTTTCCTTAATTTTTGAATTAACAATAATGCTGATAACAGTTTATAAATCAGCTTTTCAATAGTATTTTAACAAGGAAAACAGAGCCAATACTTTCATACTGTAAATTTAACAGATTTCACAGATCCTAACTACAATAATACACAAATAATGAGAAATAATATTACGGCATAGCTAATTATTTAGTAACATAATGCAGCAATTATTTAAACTAATTATTTAAATCTAAGCAAAAATATACAGGGATTTTTTTCTGATGTGAAGTAAAGTGTGTTCTATGCCCGTTAGCATTACAGTGAACTCCCTGTACCGCTTTCATTTATTTATTTATTTTAGTACTGTGTTCGTTCCTCGTTAGATTTTATGG